AGTTTGAAATTTCGAATTTAATTAAATGAAAGAAGTGGTAAGAAATCTTTAGTTTGAAATTTTAGAATATTTTCGAGCTATTTGACGAGGGTTGCCATCTGTTTAAAATTTGAGTGCACATTTAATGACTTAAACGAATTACTAAAATGTAGGTATTAATTGAAATGGGTTTGGATATTGAGGAGGGTTGCCACGTATTTTAAAAATCCCAATGCAAGACGAAAGATGTTTTAAGAAGATTTAAATTTAAAACCACTTTAAGAAAAAGGTTGCCACCTGTTTGAAAAGGCGAAAGTTTTAAGAAAACTTTTGCTTGAAAATACTTCTGATTAGGGTTGCCACCTATTCGAAAAAGCGACGGCATTTTTTATGAAGGTCATCAGATCTGCACTGTTCCTGCGAATGCCAAGAATGAGACGTCACTAGTTAAAGAGCTTATCCTCGAGATATGAAATAACGTTTTATTTTCTGAAGTTCGAACTTTTTTATTGGAACAAAGATTTCAACAATTATTTGCTTCTGTTTGCTGGGATAGCAGCAAAACGAAGCGATTAGCATTCTTGCATGGGCGCATATGTGTATGTATGTGCATATGTCCGCCATAAGTATCTAAGCATAGTTACGCACTTAAGCTGCGGTTTCAACGCCACTTTCTTAATTTCCCCACCTTCTGCGTGCATACGCAGCGCTGGTGCTACCTTAAATATGGCCAGTGTCTGTCCGTCTTATTAATGCCGCTTAGCTGTAGTACGTTACTATGGCAATCAAATTCTCTAAACATCATAATAAATTCCATTGCTTTATACTTACATACATACACATGTATGTGTGTGTCTATGTTGTAAAGACACGAATACTTAAAATTGCAACAACATTATTTCACACAAACACACAAACACGCAAACACTTAGATATGCGGCTAATCCAACTGGCGTTGTCGCGACATTTCTACTAAGCAAATCGCTTTGACTTCAGCTGGCACTTGTTATTTCACTTCCAATGCCATTACCGCCACCATTGCCTTTGCCAAATATGTATGCAACAAAAAAAAAACAACACATGCTTACTTGCCACAACAGCCATTGCTTAGTTGCAACTCCTTTTTGCATACCTCATCATTTGTACACTGCTGCTGCTGCTGCTGCTGCTGCCGCTGCTTGCATCTCGCCGTCTCCTTATCGTCAGCGCCAAGCTCATCGCACCAACCCACATCGCCATCTTACATTTTCACAGCAATTATTGCTGCGACATATGCTAAAATGGTTGGTTGACTAGTTGCATGAATGTACAAATGTATGTATGTATGTATGTATGTATGTATGTGTGCATGTCCGGTGTTGGTCAGAGCCATTTTAAGCCACTCATAGTTGTACATATGACTGCAGCTGCATATCACCGCCATGCATCTGCATAAGGCGCATAAGCGCGCGCACGCACACACATGCATACACTTGCACACACATGCACATACTTGCACACATTCGTTCAAACTTGTACACTTTTTGCCAGTGAAATATCATCTGCAATGATTTTTTACTGCCTGCGAGGTGATTTTTATGATTCCTTACACACTCACCTTGCAGCTTGGCCATCAACTGTGTGTGCTTCAACTCTCTCTCTCTCTTCCGTTTCATGCTGCCAACTCGCCTACAAGCAGCACACACTAGTTCTTTTCGCTTTGAGGCTGCTGCTGTTGCTGCTGTCTGTCTGTCTGTCTGTCGCCGACAAGGTGTGGGTAAACTAATGTCATTGCATTGTAGAGTTCCAACTTGCAACACTGCTGCTGTGACTGTTGCGTCTATGAATTGCATTCAAACATAAGGACTCAGGTGTTTTTTTACTATCTACTTGCACCACTCGGCGGCAATCGGTTGTGGCCACGATACGCCTGCTGTTGCATTATGAGTAGACGTTCTGTGTTGACTATGGCATAGTTAATGTTGCTGGTGTTGCACGTTATAGCAATAAATTAGTTCGTTATGTTTATGCGCATTTTATGGCGTCTAAATTAGTTGCTATGTAGTATGCGTGCGCACACACTTTCACATATGTACGCTGGCTGGCATCCTGACCGTGGCAAATTCTACGCTGTGCTCGATTATATTGGTTTCGAGGTTTGAAGTTTTTGTGTGATTTTTTGGAGTTGTTTTTTTTTTTGTTAATTTTTTTTTTCGTATCCGCGCGATAAGCAACGCACCCAAATCTCTTCGAAATGGGATTCCATTAAGGATTTTGCATTGCTTATGACTTGCATGCACATTTCTTTTTTTTTTTTGTGCCACACCATCATACAAATGTACGTACGTACGTATGTACGTGCGTGCGTAATATTAATGCGCACAAATGTTCATTTGAGCGGCGTAGGAAATGCATTTTATTTAATGCATTACGTAGGTATGCAAATGAATAATTCCTGTGTGGGTAGTTTGGGTGTAAAGAAAGAATTCTGTAATGGTGCATATAACAATTACCCGATAGCATTTGGCAAAAAGGCGACATCAGGAAGAAGCGATAAGCTTGATAGTCTGGCAGATATGTTTTTTGTTTGAAAGTGCACTTTGGAACTTTTCTACTCAACTTACTTACTTACTTAAGAGCATGGTTATTATAGCGCCTACTCAAATTGCAGGTTAAGTTGCTTTAGCAAGTCGAATTTAGGCGCACTGCGTCGTGGTTAGCCGTCTCTGTATCCTTTGAAGCTTGGACATCGCTCCTGATAGCACTAATGCCAGCTTAATTACATAGCTCTAAGCAGCTCTTACTACGCTCACCCTCAAGAAGTGAGTGTGTGGCAGGCAGAGCAGCTGCAATGAGGGCCAAAGTTTAAGGAAATCGTCAGCGTAAGCACTTAGGCACTTGTCGGTTTTGAAGGGGTGTTTAGTATTTATCCATATATTAAAACACTACCATAAGTTTGGCGATTCTACTGGAACGATTTCGAAACAGGGAAACACCATTGGAAAGGTATTTTTCAGCGGATGAGTAGAGTTTCAAAATTGGTTGAAAAATACAGCCCAAATTGTCGTTTAAAAATGTCTATACGTATTTGTTGTTGCAAACTGTGCAATTTGAGTTGTTTTCGCATTTTGTTTTAGTTTTTATTTCAAATAAATGTAATAAAGATAAATGTGAAGATGAAGATGAAGTAATAAGTGATAAAAAACGTTGAAGATAAAAAAAAAAATAAAAAATTTAAGGTAAAAATGAGATGCATATGAGTGTTTCCAGCGGAAGGTCCACCACGACTAAAAATAAATGTTTTATATCTAACGTATTTACGGGCCGATTTGTCTGCTTTTTAAAATATATACTGGCTATGTAAGTAGAATCATGGTTGCATAAAATGGTCTTCCTAGGTGATGCCAAGGTCGAGATATTTCGAAAAACCGTATTTATGGTCCGATTTGGTTCGAATTTGGCGTATGTGGTTGAAACATAATAAATCATAGATTTCTAATAACTTGACCCTGTATTGGCGCTGAAGTCAAAATATAAAGTATATTCTACATACAATACAATACATATTTTATTTGCGTTGAAAATTCATTTAAAAGCAATATTAACAAAAATATAACGATGGAAATTTATGTCACGTGACGCCACGTCACGTCACGTTTCACACTTGGGGTTGTAAAAGAGAATTGAAACAATTTGCATTAATTCAAAAAACTCTAAAAACAACTAGAATTGCTCCAAATCATATTAAAATAAGTTTCATGAAAATAGCCATCCACAATTCACAGAGTTTTGCGATTTTGTAAGAAAAGAAAAAATCAACTTCCATTTTTTGTCACGTAAGGACACTCTCTTTAAATGCTTATATTTCAGGACCAAGCAGTTCGATTGATTTCATTTTTCGGTTAAATATAGAACTAATTATGTGCTATACAATGGCCCAAAAAAGTTAAAGAAAACAAATGGTATTCCTTTTTTGTATCACATTGAAATCGTACGACTGTCACGTGCGCCACCATGGGGATGCCCATATACACATTCATAAAAATTAAGGTAACTGAAAAGGTAAGAAAATTGATTTAAATTTTTCGATAATAATCGAAAATAGCGATTCATCAAAAATTTACTTATCGAAATTTAACGTGTTATCCATTTCTATTGAGTTATCGAAATTTACCGAGAAACGGAAACTTAATTGTTGAAATTTACAGATAGTTATCGAGTTAAAAAAAAAAATTATCGGACTATCGAAATTTGCCAAGGCATTTATTGAATTATCAATATTTATCGAGTCATCGAAAACTTTAGAGTTATCGAGTTAGCAAAATTTATCGTACTATCGTAATATATGAGTTCTTTCAACTTAACGAGTCATCGATATTTGTTTTTAGTTATGAAACTTGAATGGTTGTAATCGAAATTTATCGGTTTATCGAATTGAAGCTTTTCGAATTTTCACACTATATTGAGTTATCTAAATTTCTAAGGTTATATATGTACTTATAAATAAATATCGACAACATTGATAAGAGTATGACTGAATGCATTGTTAACAATTATAATATAAGAGTACATATACTATCGATAATAATTTCGATACATAAAATTTCAATTAAATATAACAATAGTGATATCGATAATGTGCTATGTAACGGAAATGCTCAACTTGGATCTTGACCTGGTCATTCTTCGAATTAATCTGGTTTTGCCTACGAGTCTAACTCCATTTTTGATCCCACTTAATACCGCAATATGCCACAGTGCAGCGCTGTTTTCAAGCAGATAATTGCTAACGGTCGAGTACTATGGGCAGTTGGCAAATACTTTAGCGCAAAGTAAAAGCGCGCAGAGAATTTTTCAAATATTGTATTATTTATGTAACAAAAAATATGGTGGAATTATAAAATCTGTAATGTGGCTGAATAATATATCAATTTCGTAAATAAAGAAATAATCCAAATATAAAGCAAATTTCATGCATAACATTGCATAATTAAAAAAAAACAACAAAAGCAGACAAAATTGCAAACAAAACCCACACTTACCTTAGTACTCGCTGTTCGTGGCGCTCCGCCCAATGCAATCGCATACACTTCCACTTCGTAGGTGTCCGGTCCGGCATCACGATCCAACTCCTTTGCTGTCGACAATATGCCAAGTTTTGTGTCAATGTCAAAGAGGCGGTCGACTTGCTGCACACCCGCACCCGCACTCACACCGATCGCACTCGCACTCACACCGATTGCAGTCACATTCGTCACATAGTACTCGATTTCGGCGCCATTCAAGCGTGCACTCACAGTCAAAATACTCGTACCGGTCGGCTCATTTTCGTACACTGATCCGCTTTGTTCGCGCTGATCGAATGCGGGCCCCGACGCCGTGCCCGCTGTTATAATCGTTATGTAGGCATCGGTGCTTTTACGTTCGCTCTGCACCGCTTCATCGGTTGCCTTCAGAGCCAACTGATAACGCACCTCCGGCTGGTCGATCACTTTGCGCAATGTTATCGCACCCGTATTGCGATGCAATTTGAAGAGTTCCACATTGCCGCTTACCATTTCGTAGGTGACCAGTCCATTGCTGGACGAATCGGCATCACGCGCCAGCACATGCATCACTGGCACACCGTCACGGTAGTGATGACTTTGGGCGGCCGCCATCTGCATTGGCAATATGGCCGCATTCATGGACACAAATGTGGGTGCATTGTCGTTAATGTCCTCAACGATGACGGTCACAAGTTTCTCAGCGGATAGTTGTGGTTCAGGTTTTTCTGCCTGATCGGTGGCAACGACCGTGAGACGGAAAGTGTCGATGGTTTCGCGATCGATTTCACGCAGCGTATGTATGACGCCGGTTATGTTGTTGATGCCAAAGTGTCGGCCACCCGGCTGCTCGGGGTCTTGCTTCGTAATCGCGTAGGTGATTTTGCCATTCAAGCCGGAGTCCGGATCTTCGGCGGTTATGGTGACAATAGGTGTTTTAATGGCAATACCTTCCTTAATTTGCCGTACAATGGCTGTATTTGGGAAACTGGGTGGATTGTCATTCTCATCCACAACGTTTACGGTGAAGACGATGGTGTTCGCTAGACGCGGCGTACCGCCATCAGCAGCTGTTATATTCAGATTGTATACCGTAGTATCCTCATAGTCAAGCGGCTTGTGCAAGTACAAGCTTCCCGATATGGCATCGATGTGGAAGGTATCCTTACGGTTGCCAGCCGTTATGCTATAGGTAACCTGGCTATTGACGCCCAGATCTGAGTCCGTTGCACGGAAACGCATCAGCTCCGTGCCGATGCCGCTCGTCTCCAATACAGACACTTCGCTCGCTGTCTGCGCGAATGCGGGCGCCACATCGTTCTCATCCAACACCTCCACTGTAATGGTGGTACTTGCGCTCAACTGCCCGTTCAATGCTGCATCACGCGCCACCACTGCCAACTTATATGAAGACTGCTGCTCGCGATCAAGCAAACGCGCCAATGACAGCTGTCCTGTTGCATCATCCATGGCAAAGCGTTCCTCCTCATTGCCGGCAACAAGTGAATAGTAGACATCACCATTGAGTCCCTCATCCGCATCCACCGAATAGACGCGCATCACTTGCGTGCCAATGCCAGCGCCTTCGGAAATCTGCACGCGGTAGGGAGCGCGCACAAACTGCGGCGCATTGTCATTGACATCTGTAATGATTATCTTCACCTTGACCTTGTCGTGCAAGCGCTGCACTCCATTGTCTGAGACGACGGCCTCCATCTGTATGTAGTTATTGCCATTGTTAATACCATCGCCTACACCCACTACACCGCCAGCCGACTGCCCATTCGCTTGTCCACCCACGCTGGTGCTGCTGCGTCGTTGCACAAGCTCCTCGCGATCGAATGGATGTAGCGTTTTGATGAAACCATTACGCATGTCGATGCTGAAGTCCTGCTCCTGCGATGCCAGCGTATAAATCAATTCTGCGTTGCGTCCCATATCACGATCCGTTGCCGTCAGCTTGCCGACAAACGAATCGGCTGGCTCATTCTCTGCGATGCTAAAGGTGAAGGTATTATTTGTGAATTGCGGCGCATTATCGTTCTCGTCGATGACATGTATGATTACCGGTACCACAGACGAACGCGCTGGCATACCGCTGTCGTGGCATGCCACCGTCAGCGCGTAATAGTCGCGTTCCTCCCGATCCAACTGTGCGCGCACAAACAAATAACCATCAGGAAAGACGCCGAACTTCCGCTCTGTATTGCCCTCGATTATGTCGTATGATATCCGCCCATTTGCGCCGAGATCCGCATCGCTGGCGGCTAGCGCAAAGAAGCGCGCATTCACCTTGGTCGATTCGCGCAACGATGTCTCGTACGATGTGTGATCAAACACAGGTGTATGATCGTTGACATCGGCGATGAGCACGTCGATGGTGTGTCGCGTTGACAAGGGCGGCGTACCACCATCTGCGGCCATCAACTCCACATGCAGCAATGTACCGGGTGCTGCGCGCAGCGGACGCTGCAATTGCAGTACGCCAGTCGCTTCGTTGATGCGAAACTGTTCGTCGGGATTGTAGGTGAGCGTGTAGGTGACACGGCTATTCATGCCTGAATCGCGATCACGTGCGCGTGACAAGTAAACCTCTTGACCGACAGCCGCGTTCTCGGCCAACTGTATCTCACCGTCACGATCTTGTGCAAAGATCGGCGCATTATCGTTCAAATCAGCGATCGCAATGTTCACAATGCATTTGCCATAGGCCAGGCCAGTGCGCGCCATCACAGTGAGCTGATACTGCGCCACCGCTTCACGATCAATGCGGCGCGCCGTGCGAATGCGACCAGTGCGACGATCCACCTCAAAGTTCTCATCCGCATCGCCATACACAATCGCGTACTCGATGTTGGGTGGCAGTGTCAATTTGCCAGCATGTGACTTCACCTGCACCCGACCCACCTCGCGACCCACCACTGGCGGTTGTTGCTCATGATCTTCCACAATTTGAAACTCATAACTGCCGTATGACTCGAACTCGAGCAACTCCATTTTGGATTGCAATACAATCTCAACCAATGCATCTTGTTCGCTTAGACGTTCGCCGCGATCCTTTGCCGAAATCTTCAACTTATACAATGCCTTCGGTGAGTGGCGTATATCGCTGCTGGCGGCGGTGGCGGCAGCGATGCGCAATGTTATCGCGCCACTCCATGTATCGACGACGAAATGCCCATCGCCACCTGACTCCAGTTGGTAGGTAATTAAGGCATTATCGCCCGCATCACGATCACTGGCAGTGACTTTCAATAGTGGTTGGTTGTTGTCGCTGTTGTCGTTGTTGTCGTTGTTGTCGCCCGCATCGTCAGGCAACGCATAAAAATAATGACTCGGATAGAACGTTGGGCTGTTGTCGTTGACATCCTCAACGTTCAGATAAACAGTAGCTGTGGCCGATTGTGGTGGTGCACCCTGATCGCGTGCGATCACAAAAATCTCATAATGCGCAATTGTCTCACGATCAAGTGCACTGCGCGTCGTTAATTGGCCAGTGAGCGAGTCGAGCGCAAATTGTTTCGGATACTTGCGCTCCACACTGCCCGCCAGTGTGTATGTCACCGAGCCGTTAGTGCCTTGATCGTGATCGGCTGCCGTTAGCATGGCGACCAATGTCTGTGGCGGCGTATTCTCGCTGAGTGTAACGTTGATTTGGTGTTGCGAGAATTGTGGTGCCTCATCGTTTTCATCCAGTATGGTCACCTTGAGTTGTGTGTACGCCCACTTCGGATTTGGGCCGCCATCACGTGCGGATATGCTCAATTCCACGCTGTCTTGCACTTCGCGATCCAATGTTGCCTGCGTTGTTATCAAACCGGACGCTGTATCAATAACAAACCATTGTTTATTATTACCCGAAACGAAATCGTATGAAATCAATGCATTTACGCCGGTGTCCTCGTCGGTGGCGGTAATGGAGGCAACGTACGTGCCTGCCGGTGCCAATTCACTCAGCACCGCTGAATACTCGCTCTTCTCGAACACTGGTTCATGATCGTTCACATCGTTGACATGGATAATTAGGTGCGCGGTCGCCGTACGCGATGGTGTACCTTTATCGATGGCGACAACTGTCAAATTGTACTTGCCAATTTCCTCGCGATCCAACACACCATTAACGCGCACAATATCGAAGGACGGTGTCTTCTCCAGGCGAAAATGACCCAACTCATTGCCCGTTATGATACGTAAGCTCGTATCGCCATTGAGGCCCTCATCCATGTCCACTACAGAGACGGCAGCAACTACACTGCCATTCACCGCATTCTCATCCACAGTCGCGTATGTGCCAGTTGGCGGAAAATATTGAAAGCGTATTACAGGGTCATGGTCATTGGTGTCCAGGAGGTTCACCGTAACATAGGTGCGTCCGTCTTGTCGCGGAGAGCCGTGATCGCGCGCGAATACCGTAAAGACACAGCTCTTCGGACAACCGGCGCCGGGGCGTACGAAGTTCTGGCAATTCTGTTGTGGACAGCTAAGTAGTTCGGTGGTGGATATGATACCGCTCTCGGGATCAACAGAAAACTGTTGCTCAGTGTCAGCTAGGTAGTAGGTGATTTTGGCATTGTCACCCAGATCATTGTCCGAAGCCATAACCTGAAGCACAGGCGAGCCCGGCGGCACGGATTCATTCAGCGAGACGATATAGTCGGAGTGATCGAAGATCGGTGGATTATCGTTCACATCGACAATGGTAACATTTACCAACAGGTAACCGTATTGCGGTGGCTCACCACCATCACGCGCTGATATGTTGAGCTGGTAGAAACCGCGCGTTTCCCGATCCAAGTTACCCGTAGTCTCCAAGTGAAGGTAGCTGACGTCACCGCTTGGATTCGTTGTCACAGCCAAGCGGAATTTATCCTCCATATTACCATCCACAATGTGATAGTCGTCCGTCACACTATTCTCGCCAATATCGCTATCAGTGGCCGCATCCAGTAGCAGACGCGTGCCGGTAGCCGCACTCTCAGAAAACGATACTGCTATGCTCGGTTCGGGAAACTCTGGAGCATTATCGTTCACATCCAGCACAATGATGCGCACCTCAATCGGATAGGTGGGCTGTGAGGAGAGCACCACTAAATCGTAGCGATCGCGTATACCTTCACGATCCAGCACCACATTCGTTTTAATCTCACCCGTAACCTGATCGAGCGCAAATTCACGAGGTGGCTCATTAAAGCGATATGTAAAATCGGGTTTGGTGGGTATAAAGCCAACTACTGTACCGCGCGGCTGTCCTTCTAACACCTCAAATTGTGCGCTCGTATCGACAGCGCGCGACTGCATTAGGCCGCTTGCGCCATCACCGCCCGCCGACGAGCGGCGCCGGGGAAAGGCGAGCACGCTGTAATGAGCAATGGGTCCGCCGACCACACTCGGACCGAACATACTACCATATGCGGCGCTCAATGACTGCGACTGCTGTGGCTGGCTGTGACATGGCAATGGCAATGCGTACAACGCAAATGCGAAGCAACAAGTGGTGATGAGTGGCCAAACGGCACTGCTTAAGACTAAATTATTTTGGCGGCGTTGAGGTGACGCTGCTGCGTACTTTGTAAGCTGTCGCGCATTAGCGGCATTTTGTGGCGCTCTTTTACAGTCTTCTAGTTGCACTTTGCTTACTTTCGCCGCGTTGACTTGAGCGGCGCGTACAGGAGTGGTGGCGACGCTGCGGTGGGGGATCGGCGCTAATGTAAACACTTTTGCGGCGGCAACGGTGATGGCAGCGGCGGCGGCGGTGGCGCACTTTGATAAACGTATTGCTGCTGCTGTAGTTGCTGTTTTGGCTTCCGCTACTCCTCTGAGCAAATGCGTGTTTCGTGTATGCTTATTTCTGTCGGCTATGGTGGTTGTGCTTGTGCCGATGGTGTCTGTGCCGGCATTTGTGGCACTCACAGAAATGAAGATATCGCTACAATTTGGCTGATTTGTCATGCTGTAAGTGCGCGCATAAGCGCTCGTATTCACGTCGTCTGTGGCCGTGACCAGTTCGACGACGTTGCCGTTGCCGTTGCCGCTTGTTCGTCGTCGTCTGTCGTCGTCGTTGTCGTTGTCGGACGTCTTCTTTCTTCTCAACGTCTGCAGGCAAATATTTTGTGTTCCTGCAACGCGTCATAATGTGGCTGCGACGTGGAAGACTACCAACCCACGGCAGTTCTTTACACGTCGCTGCTGTTGATCTAGTAGTATAGTAGTGTTGTTGTTGTGTTGTTGTTGTTTCCTTTTTTGTTCGTTGTTTGTCTGCAGCGCGCTGATGGCCCTTCTACGGAATATTGCCCGCTTTTGAGCGTTGCTTGCACCTTCTGGAATTCGATTTTGTTGCAAACACTTAGTCGCTGCTTTTCTTTGTTGATTTATTTTTTTTATTTGTGTTGGTTGTGCTTTAGTTCTCGTTAATTTTTGTTGTTGTCGTTCTGTTTCTATGCGCTGTGGAATTCGCAAACTTGCAGCCATTAGTGTACCGAACGCGATAAGTTCTGGCAATTGGTTTCATTTTATTCCTGCTGTCCGTTGTAGCTCAGCGATCCTCACTGCACTGCTGCAATGAGCATGATGGCGATGATGATGATTTGAACTCAATACACATACATAGATACATACAGACGCATAGAACACTTGCACGTTAATATTTGTATTCAACTATTTTGCACTTATGCTTTTACATACCTACATACATACATGCACTTTGAGTAATTTATGTTGATGAGGGTATGGCGTCGTCCGTCAGCATTTTTTTCTTTCACCTTTTTGCACTGCGCACTGGGCAAAGGGTTTTTTTTTTGATTTTTTTTCTCTTTTTTCGCAAAAAATTTTTTCTCGCTTTGTTATTGAAATTAACACTTTTTTGCACTTAACACTCTTGCGTTAGCAGCGCTATAATGGCGGTGACAGGAAGCCAGTGACCAAATGGACGACGGATGCCAGTGGTCGAGCAATTTCAAAATCTGCAAATTAAAAGAAAAGAAGTGAAAAAGAATTAGAAAAAATTACTAAAAAAAAGTAATAAACTATTTTCAGCTGAAAATTATAGTAAAATATTTAATGATTTGGAGCAATTACAATTATAAACAGCGCTCTAAGCTGTTTCTGCTACTACATCAGTTACATATCAACACACATAAACATACATACATACATACATTTGTGTTGTATACGCACACCACCCCGTTTTCACCTTTACAAAATCTAAACAAGCCGCATTGCGTAGTCGAACAGCGGTCGGATCGTGTAATGTAAGCGGTCGTCAAGCAGTTATTTACTCGTAAGTTCGCTGGGTAAACCACACAAGTTGGCTGCGTGGCGCTATGATTTTACACCGCTATAAATCAACATAATTAACACCAATTCAAAGAGTCAATTTATCGCTGCATAAGCGCTTCTGCATGTGCACACATACATGCATATGAAACTAAACAACTAACTTGCAATTAAGGCTTGCATTCGCCAAGCGCAACCGGAACTTGTGCCAATATGCAGTGTTTCATATTAATAAATAAAAAAAATGTATGTTTAGAATGAGCTTTGCCTAAGCCGCCGTTAGATCATTTGCAGCGTATATTTAGCTCAACAACATACATTTATATAAATGTGTATGTATTTTAGGGTGGCCCAAAAATACATTTGTAGGAAAATGAACTTTTTTGAAATTTGAAAAAATCATTAAAAATAATTATTTTTTGATCGAATACGACTATTTGCCTTCAGAAGTCTACTACTTCATTCTGCTCAATTATTTCTGTGGGTATGTGGTAAAAAAAAAAATTGTAAATAGGGTTACCAGATGTCTGAAATTAAAATTATTTAAAGGCTCAATAAAATAATTAAGTGCCTCCATCAAAACTAAAAGCATTTGAAGAGATTTAAAAACATTTTTGTACGGAGTTGCCACCTTTATACCCTTAATATGAGTATTAAATGAAAGGGGTTTATGCACTCCCAGCAAAGTTTTTGAAAACACATACTTTAATGCACATATATTTTTGGATAGCGTTGCCATTTATCTATAACAAAAATAAATAAATAAATCATGCTACATGCGGTCAAATAAAATATGAGTTTCAAACAAAAGGTGTTAAAATGAAGTTTTAACTCCTACATATTTCTGGACAGAGTCGGCACGTAACCAAAAAACTAAAATGAGTGCGAGATACCGTCACTAACATGTCAAACCATCGATTATGCAAAAATGCACATTGGATCATTTCACTTAACTTATATAATTACCTCATCTTAGTTAAAAGCCGGATGGCAACCCTATTTAAAAACATGTTAGTCCAAAGCTTATGCGTACACCTTTCGTGTGATATCAATATTGTGGTATTAAATAAGCTTGAATTTTTAATAATCATTGGTATATTTTTTAGAAAGGTGGCAACCCAGTCAAAAATATTTTTTAAATATCTTCAAACGCTTTTAGTTTTGCTGAAGAAATTTAAATATTTTATTGACCATTTAGATGATTTTAAATCTTCAAATATCTGGCAACCCTATTTTTCATAATTTTTACCACATATCTACAGCAAATGTCGAGTAGAGCAAAAACGAATTAAATACATCCATTGATCTGTTCGTGCGTGATGTGGTTATGAAACCATAAAATAACGGATTTTTGTATATAGCAGATAGAATTATCGGATATTAAAACACACATTTTTAAGTTAAAAAAGCATCGATAAAAAGATTTTTTGGCACGATGTAAAATTTATTGGAAACTTCAAAGCCCCGGGTAAATATTAATCGATTTCAAAACAAAAAAAATCGTTCTCCTTATTTTTGATATTCTTCAGATTTGGCGGTGG